TAAACAGTTCACATTTTCAATTTTTTCTTAACAACCAAGGAACCACTTTCAATAAAATCTGCAGGATGATTCCATCTCCAAAGCAAATCAAACTTTCATGATTCCCTTCCCCAGGGGCCTGAAGGGTAGGATCAAAAGGGGTCAAATTGGGGGAAAATTCAGTGTTCTTCATACCCAGAAATCCAGGAATGTCCGAATCAAAGGGTAGTCTTTACCAGTTCTTCCCTTTGGAGGAGGTAAAACTGACATAGTTAATGCAGAGAAATAGGAGGTAAAACTGACAGTCGGAAATTCCTCGAAGCCATCTGCCAGATCCACCTTTCCAACATCTAGAGGGGCTGACTCTGTTTTTATCCTTTTAACTGTACATACGGGCTGATGCTTTTTACTTTTTGATATGCACAAACAGTGCGATAATATTCTACCAAGAATGAAGTACTTTGATAAAAATAAGAAGGAAATATTTCAAACTTGACTCGGATTATTGTCCTGGGATGTCAGATTGATGGTATGAAGATTAAATAGCTGAACAAAAAGGAAATGAAATAGATTGAATTAAATTAATAACTTGTTCTCAAGGCTCAAAAGGCTCAGGGTATGTTGTAATTAGGTTATGATTACCGTTTATAACCAGTTATACTACAGATTGGAGAACACTGATGTCAGCTATGTCTGTTGTTCTGATGGTAACCAGTTATCTATATGTAAACAAAGGTCATTATTTTTTCAATGCAATGCCTTTGCTAGGAGATATAACAAAGAACATTGGGACTCTCTAACTAAGGGCCCGGTCAGTGCTTTCACTGTGTATGAAACGTGTTTAACACCGATTCCTTAATTCCAATGTTTTGTAGTCTATGGAAGCTGTTAAAGGCCAAGCACTCCCACCTGGCATCGGTGTGTGTACCGTTACTGCTACACTGCCTTACACTGCCAACAGGAGCAGATGTTTTCTGGAGACTTGTCGAGGAGGACTTCAGTTCTGATGATTGGCGATGCAGGTTTGCTGCGGGTATGTCATTAAATATGTGATCACAGCTTACATCACTGTAGTTGATATTTTTTATCTATACTTATTACGTTGTACTTAACTCATTCACCCCTGAAATTTTATAATCAACTATTCCAAACATTGAATTGGAAGAGTTCAAATGTGTCTTTAGGGGTGAATGAGTTAACAATAAATTGTATTGTATTGTTAATCTATGTTTCTCTGATTGTTACATTATACTTGTACTACATTGCGTCTATGACTCATATTGTACTTACTGGGGCAGATTACTTTGTACTTACTGTATTACACAGTATGTTTCGTACTGTATTATTGTATGGGTTTTGTGATAAAGGGTATATAGCATTGTATGTATAGAAGAGTATTGGAGTGTATATTATATTGTAGTATTTATATATTTGGGTAAAGAATTTGGATTATACATAGTGTCAAACTTGCTTTACTAGTGTCGGCTATAGGAAATATTCCTTTAGCACAGCAGTAGCACATCTGTCTAGAAAGTCAAGCGTCGCAGGTTTGAGCCCCAGATAACACACATATTCTTTTCACTACTTCCTTCCTATTAGATTTGTACTGTAGTGAATATTTTTGTGTTACAGTGGAGAAGGTGATTTTATTGGCCCGGGTACTAAGTTTAGTGTATATTTTTGTGTTACAGTGGAGAAGGTGATTGTATTGGCCTGGGTACTAAGTTTAGTGTATATTTTTGTGTTACAGTGGAGAAGGTGATTGTATTGGCCCGGGTACTAAGTTTAGTGTATATTTTTGTGTTACAGTGGAGAAGGTGATTGTATTGGCCCGGGTACTAAGTTTAGTGTATATTTTTGTGTTACAGTGGAGAAGGTGATTGTATTGGCCCGGGTACTAAGTTTAGTGTATATTTTTGTGTTACAGTGGAGAAGGTGATTGTATTGGCCCGGGTACTAAGTTTAGTGTATATTTTTGTGTTACAGTGGAGAAGGTGATTGTATTGGCCCGGGTACTAAGTTTAGTGTATATTTTTGTGTTACAGTGGAGAAGGTGATTGTATTGGCCCGGGTACTAAGTTTAGTGTATATTTTTGTGTTACAGTGGAGAAGGTGATTGTATTGGCCCGGGTACTAAGTTTAGTGTATATTTTTGTGTTACAGTGGAGAAGGTGATTGTATTGGCCCGGGTACTAAGTTTAGTGTATATTTTTGTGTTACAGTGGAGAAGGTGATTGTATTGGCCCGGGTACTAAGTTTAGTGTATATTTTTGTGTTACAGTGGAGAAGGTGATTGTATTGGCCCGGGTACTAAGTTTAGTGTATATTTTTGTGTTACAGTGGAGAAGGTGATTGTATTGGCCCGGGTACTAAGTTTAGTGTATATTTTTGTGTTACAGTGGAGAAGGTGATTGTATTGGCCCGGGTACTAAGTTTAGTGTATATTTTTGTGTTACAGTGGAGAAGGTGATTGTATTGGCCCGGGTACTAAGTTTAGTGTATATTTTTGTGTTACAGTGGAGAAGGTGATTGTATTGGCCCGGGTACTAAGTTTAGTGTATATTTTTGTGTTACAGTGGAGAAGGTGATTGTATTGGCCCGGGTACTAAGTTTAGTGTATATTTTTGTGTTACAGTGGAGAAGGTGATTGTATTGGCCCGGGTACTAAGTTTAGTGTATATTTTTGTGTTACAGTGGAGAAGGTGATTGTATTGGCCCGGGTACTAAGTTTAGTGTATATTTTTGTGTTACAGTGGAGAAGGTGATTGTATTGGCCCGGGTACTAAGTTTAGTGTATATTTTTGTGTTACAGTGGAGAAGGTGATTGTATTGGCCCGGGTACTAAGTTTAGTGTATATTTTTGTGTTACAGTGGAGAAGGTGATTGTATTGGCCCGGGTACTAAGTTTAGTGTATATTTTTGTGTTACAGTGGAGAAGGTGATTGTATTGGCCCGGGTACTAAGTTTAGTGTATATTTTTGTGTTACAGTGGAGAAGGTGATTGTATTGGCCCGGGTACTAAGTTTAGTGTATATTTTTGTGTTACAGTGGAGAAGGTGATTGTATTGGCCCGGGTACTAAGTTTAGTGTATATTTTTGTGTTACAGTGGAGAAGGTGATTGTATTGGCCCGGGTACTAAGTTTAGTGTATATTTTTGTGTTACAGTGGAGAAGGTGATTGTATTGGCCCGGGTACTAAGTTTAGTGTATATTTTTGTGTTACAGTGGAGAAGGTGATTGTATTGGCCCGGGTACTAAGTTTAGTGTATATTTTTGTGTTACAGTGGAGAAGGTGATTTTATTGGCCCGGGTACTAAGTTTAGTGTATATTTTTGTGTTACAGTGGAGAAGGTGATTGTATTGGCCTGGGTACTAAGTTTAGTGTATATTTTTGTGTTACAGTGGAGAAGGTGATTGTATTGGCCCAGGTTCTAAGTTTAGTGTATATTTTTGTGTTACAGTGGAGAAGGTGATTGTATTGGCCTGGGTACAAAGTGTAGTGTATATTTTTGTGTTACAGTGGAGAAGGTGATTGTATCGGCCCGGGTACTAAATTTAGTGCNGAATTGGAAGAGTTCAAATGTGTCTTTAGGGGTGAATGAGTTAACAATAAATTGTATTGTATTGTTAATCTATGTTTCTCTGATTGTTACATTATACTTGTACTACATTGCGTCTATGACTCATATTGTACTTACTGGGGCAGATTACTTTGTACTTACTGTATTACACAGTATGTTTCGTACTGTATTATTGTATGGGTTTTGTGATAAAGGGTATATAGCATTGTATGTATAGAAGAGTATTGGAGTGTATATTATATTGTAGTATTTATATATTTGGGTAAAGAATTTGGATTATACATAGTGTCAAACTTGCTTTACTAGTGTCGGCTATAGGAAATATTCCTTTAGCACAGCAGTAGCACATCTGTCTAGAAAGTCAAGCGTCGCAGGTTTGAGCCCCAGATAACACACATATTCTTTTCACTACTTCCTTCCTATTAGATTTGTACTGTAGTGAATATTTTTGTGTTACAGTGGAGAAGGTGATTGTATTGGCCCGGGTACTTAGTTAGTGTTTACTTTTGTGTTACAGTGGAGAAGGTGATTGTATTGGCCCGGGTACTTAGTTTCGTGTATACTTTTGTGTTAAAGTGGAGAAGGAGATTGTATTGGCCCGGGTACTTAGTTAGTGTTTACTTTTGTGTTACAGTGGATAAGGTGATTGTATTGGCCCGGGTACTAAGTTGAGTGTATATTTTTGCGTTACAGTGGAGAAGGTGATTGTATTGGCTCGGGGACTTAGTTTCGTGTATACTTTTGTGTTAAAGTGGAGAAGGAGATTGTATTGGCCCGGGTACTTAGTTAAGTGTATACTTTTGTGTTACAGTGGAGAAGGTCATTGTATTGGCCCGGGTACTTAGTTAGTGTTTACTTTTGTGTTACAGTGGATAAGGTGATTGTATTGGCCCGGGTACTAAGTTGAGTGTATATTTTTTTGTTGCAGTGGAGAAGGTGATTGTATTGGCCCGGGTACTTAGTTTCGTGTATACTTTTGTGTTACAGTGGAGAAGGTGATTGTATTGGCCCGGGTACTTCGTATTTTGTATATTTTTGTGTTACAGTGGAGAAGGTGATTGTATTGGCCCGGGTACTACGTATTTTGTATATTTTTGTGTTACAGTGGCGAAGGTGATTGTATTGGCTCGGGTACTTAGTTGCGTGTATACTTTTGTGTTACAGTGGAGAAGGTGATTGTATTGGCCCGGGTACTAAGTATAGTGTATATTTTTGTGTTACAGTGGAGAAGGTGATTGTATTGGCCTGGGAGTAAGTATTGTGTATATTTTTGTGTTACAGTGGAGAAGGTGATTGTATTGGCCCGGGTACTAAGTTTAGTGTATATTTTTGTGTTACAGTGGAGAAGGTGATTGTATTGGCCCGGGTACTAGACAGAGACACCATACAACATAACCAGGTTATACAGACCGCCCTGGCTCATGCCTTCTGCCTCCTCATCGGCTCTCTTGTCGATATCAATGCTGCGATTGCCCAGAGAACTATACAGTACTTAGAAACCATTAAGAAAACCTCCATAAAGGTAGGCACATAGCTTTGAATCATTAGCCTCTCAATGGTGATGTACATGTGGTTAAACAATCAATCAAGCTCCTATCAATGTACATTTTAATGTAAGTTAACAGGTTTGTATGGTCCCATGACAAGGTCACTATTGTAAAAGATGTGGATTATTAGGTTGCTACAAGCGTCACCTGTAGGGAATTTCCCTTTAGCTCAGCGGTAGAGCATCAGGCTGGAGAGCCAAGGTTCGCAGGTTCGAGCCCCATCGACGGTACTATCTTTATCACTATTTCCTCGTCCTATTACAAATTGGTGCTGTTGACTCTCCCCAATCAAGGTAGGAGAACCCTTGGCAGGGAGTCATAGAACCTGGGTTGGTGTTTAAAAAATGGGGGAAATAGTGTAAAAGATGTGGATTAATTAGGTTGCCTTACAAGCGTAAGCTGTAGGGAATTTCCCTTTAGCTCAGCGGTAGAGCATCAGGCTGGAGAGCCAAGGGTTGGGGGTTCGAGCCCCAGCGACGGCACTATCTTTATCACTATTTCCTCGTCCTATTACACTATTACTATATATAGAAATGTGTTATTCAATTCAGTGATGTATATCTAGCAGCTTTAAAAATGAAGGGATTTTGATTAACATTTTACAAAGCTCAAATGAGCTCGTGTTTCAGAGTTTTAAGATCAATGCCAAGGTCATTGTTACTATTGTTCAGACAATGACACTTATTTGCAAGGGAGTTAAGGGGCATTCATGTCCTACAGAACTTTTCTAGTTTTTATCAAGAAATATAAATGTAGATTTTGGCTGGTGTATCTATTTATCAACCCTTATACATGTACATGTAGGCTATCCAAGTTGAGTACCCCACTTTGATTTTTAGCTCACCTGGCCGAAGGGCCAAGTGAGCTTATGGCATGATGCTGCGTCCGGCATCTGTCCGGCGTCAACCTTTTACTTTAAACAACTTCTTCTGAATAACCAAGAGGCCCAGTCTGATGATATTTAGCCAGTACGTGCTGGGATGAAAGGCTACAAAGTTTGTTCAAATGAATGACCTTGACCCACTTTCAAGGTCACAGGGGTCAAATGTCTTAAAATCTTCAAACACCTTTTTCTCAATAACTAAAAGCCCAAGAGTACTGGTATTTGGCCTGTAGCATGCTGGGATAAAGGGCTTCCAAGTTTGTTCAAATGAATGACCTTCACCAACTTTCAAGGTCACAGGGGTCAAATGTCTTAAAATCTTCGAACAAATTCTTCTCAATAACCAAAAGGCCCAGGGTATTGATATTTGGCCTGTAGCATGCTGGGATGAAAGGCTACCAGGTTTGTCCAAATGAATGACCTTGACCAACTTTCAAGGTCACTGGTCAAATGTCATTAAATCTTCAAACGACTTCTCAATAGCCAAAAGGCTAAGGGTACTGATATTGGGCCTGTAGCATGCTGGGATGAAGGGCTACCAAGGTTTGTTCAAATGAATGACCTTGACCTACTTTTAAGGTCACTGGGATCAGATGTCTTAAAATCTTTAAACGACTTCTTCTCAATAACCAAAAGGCCAAGGGTACTGATATTGGGCCTGTATCATGCTGGGATGAAGGACTACCAAGTTTGTTCAAATAACCTTGACCCACTTTCAAGGTCACTGGGATCAGATGTCTTACAATCTTCAAATGACTTCTTTTCAATAACCAAAAGGCCCAGTGTACTGATATTGGGCCTGTAGCATGCTGGGATAACGACCGCAAAGTGTGTCCAAATGAATGAACTTGACCCACTTTCAAGGTCACAGGGGTCAAATGTCTTAAAATCTTCGAACAACTTCTTCTCAATAACCAAAAGGCCCAGGGTACTGATATTGGGCCTGTAGCATGCTGGGATGAAGGGCTATAAGTTGGTTGAAATGAATGACCTTGACCCACTTTAAACCTAATGTCCTTGTTCGACATTCAAGGTCACAGGCGTCATATGTTTTAATCTTTTAAAAAAATTCTTTAAATCAAACACTGATATTCTGCCTGTAGCTGTATTTTAGTCCACTTTTAAGATTACAAGTGTGAGATTAATACCAGGTGAGTGATGCAGACCCATTGGGCCTCTTGTTAAATTGTGGATTTTTCTAAATAAAAATTCGTGAGAACATGGTACAATGTATACATTAATTTGTGAAGTACGTAGTGTAGCTATACATGTCGGGTATTTCTTGTGTTCACAGTGTCTGTGTCAGTGTATGGAGTTCCAGTTTGACCATGTCATCTCGGACCGGATCATGATCCTACAGAGGATGCAGCTGCTTGCCAATGTACTAAAGGACCAGAAGATCCTGTCCTGGGAGTTTTTCATGGCTCGCTTTGACAGTCTTTCCTTGGAGGCCCAATTGGACCTGGAGAACCATGGCGACATCGCTTGTCCTACAGGTATATCTACATGTCATATACGTAGTGTGGCAGATTTTAATTGTACATAGGTTTACGATCACCTTCTAGTTTTGCGCTAGAGGGAATTTTCCCTTTAGCTCAGTGGTATAAAGTCCAACTAGGAAGTCTGGGGTCTGGGGTGGAAGCACACTACTCTTTCCCCCTGTTACATGTAGTAATAGAATGCCTGTTTGTCTTATAACGTTATATATATCTCTCTGTCCCCTACCTTTAACACCTGTTCTTATTGTGTTTTTGTCCAATATTTCGTAACCCTAACATCTATCCTTCAGGTTTGTCTCTCCCATGCCTAATGCTGGCTTCTTGAATTATCATGTACTCTGATCTTTGTCCTGTAAAATGTACCTTCTGTCACTTTTAACTCCACGTGTCCACAACCATCTGTATTGATGGAGGAATTAAAACTATATCAAGATGTAGACAACAGAATATATAGGTAACTCAATAGAGAGGATTCGGAATTGAAAAGTGTACTTCGGGTATTCCACAAGGATCATTTTTGGGTCCGCTTCTTTTTCCTATCTCTTAACAGACGATACTGATCTGATTACAGAATTTTGAATTTCAGTTGGAAAGCTTACATTGCAGTATTAGATTATAATCAGCTTCTGACCCTCTATATGAACCATAGAAGGTTGATAAGGAATATATATAGGAGTGAAGACATAGCCCATAATCCTATACATCTCATTGACTCTGTACCGTTCTCTAGAGGGTCCATAATCCTATACACCTCATTGACTCTGTACGATTCTCTAGAGGGTCCATAATCCTATACACCGCATTGACTCTGTACGGTTCTCTAGAGGGCCCATAATCCTATACACCTCATTGACTCTGTACATTTCTCTAGAGGGTCCACAATCCTATACATCTCATTGACTCTGTACCGTTCTCTAGAGGGTCCATAATCCTATACACCTCATTGACTCTGTACGATTCTCTAGAGGGTCCATAATCCTATACTCCTCATTGACTCTGTACTGTTCTCTAGAGGGTCCATAATCCTATACCCCTCATTGACTCTGTACGGTTCTCTAGAGGGCCCATAATCCTATACACCTCATTGACTCTGTACATTTCTCTAGAGGGTCCACAATCCTATACATCTCATTGACTCTGTATGGTTCTCTAGAGAGTCCATAATCCTATACATCTCATTGACTCTGTACCGTTCTCTAGAGGGTCCATAATCCTATACACCTCATTGACTCTGTACAGTTCTCTAGAGGGTCCATAATCCTATACATCTCGTTGACTCTGTACGGTTCTCTAGAGGGTCCATCATCATATACATCTCATTGGCTCTGTACGGTTCTCCAGAGGGTCCATAATCCTATACACCTCATTGGCTCTGTACTGTTCTCTAGAGGGTCCATAATCCTATACATCTCATTGACTCTGTATGGTTCTCTAGAGGGTCCATAATCCTATGCATCTCATTGACTCTGTACGGTTCTCTAGAGGGCCCATAATCCTATACACCTCATTGACTCTGTACGATTCTCTAGAGGGTCCATAATCCTATACCCCTCATTGACTCTGTACGGTTCTCTAGAGGGCCCATAATCCTATACACCTCATTGACTCTGTACGATTCTCTAGAGGGTCCATAATCCTATACCCCTCATTGACTCTGTACGGTTCTCTAGAGGGGCCATAATCCTATACACCTCATTGACTCTGTACGATTCTCTAGAGGGTCCATAATCCTATACACCTCATTTACTCTGTACGGTTCTCTAGAGGGTCCATAATCCTATGCATCTCATTGACTCTGTACGGTTCTCTAGAGGGTCCATCATCATATACATCTCATTGACTCTGTACGGTTCTCCAGAGGGTCCATAATCCTATACACCTCATTGACTCTGTACGGTTCTCTAGAGGGTCCATAATCCTATACACCTCATTGACTCTGTACGGTTCTCTAGAGGGCCCATAATCCTATACACCTCATTGACTCTGTATGGTTCTCTAGAGGGTCCATAATCCTGTACATCTCATTGACTCTGTACGGTTCTCTAGAGGGTCATTTCTTGACTGTATAACAAGTGTATTGCATTGAGGACCCTTGAAAAAGCTTGCTTTTCTTTTTACTAAACAAAACATACTTAATTTTATCAATCTCCATTTTTGGCATCAAACCTAAAGATGGTTTTGCTGTCAATAACATCATTTAATTGAATCCTCAATAAATTTCTCACAGACTTTTTATAGAAAACTAGAAAGGGACTACATGACAGTTCTAAACTAATGATTTCTGGAAATTCTTCTCTGAGAAGCAATTATGTTTTGTAGAACTGAAGTTTAATAAATTAACAAACAGAAGGTTAATACCTTATATATATTATGAGAGACAGAAGAACCTGTGTGATATAAATCTGTGCTGACAGTGTCCCCTCTCTACTGTAGATCTTACCAGCAGTGATAGGGAGAGTGAACACTTCCTAAGGAAGATAAACAGAGCCAGGTTTGCGATGGCACGGACAGACAGTATCCGGTCCCTGAGCATGAGTATGAATGGGAAACCCCCATACCGGCGGGCCGTGTCAGTACCGATGCATCTCCTTACCAAGACCACCCCACCGAAACGTAAGTGTCAGCGGTCAATACAAGTTGTTATCTCCCTTTCTATTGATAGGCATAGACAAACATTTAAGAGCTGCCTAATTTCTGTTCCTTGTCATGTACCGGTATTTAATTATTATAAGTCTGTTGCATTGTTTAGGATTGTGGATTTTTTTTGTCTTTTTCTTTACAATACACAATATTGTATTCATATTTCCCGTAAAATATCTTTGCTCTTATAAGGCACATGTGTTTATTTTTACAGAGGAACCTCAATAAATAATATCTAGATTATAATTGGTTATTCTAAATGACCTTGTTTCATAGGAATCATTCTTACAAATGTTTTATGAAAAATAGAAGTATCTTGTCTTGGAATGTTACATTTGACTTTTATGCCCAGTGATAACTTTAATGAAAAGAAATGTGATTGTTTTACAATTTCTAATACATTATAAAGTCAGTTTATACATATTGCTCAGTCAGTACATTGTTATAAGCCAGACCTGAACATATCATTACAATATCTAATACATTGTAAAGTCAGTTTATACATATTGCTCAGTCAGTAAATTGTTAAAAGCCAGACCTGAACATATCAAATTATTTGCCAAATACATAGCCCTAAATTTAAATGAGTCCTGGGTCAGCTGTGAGTTTATGGGCTGTGAGTTTATATGAGTCCATTAAGTCAGCTGTGAGAGTATATGAGTATAGGTCAGCTGTAGGAGTATATGAGTCAAGGTCAGCTGTGAGATTATATGAGTCAAGGTCAGCTGTGAGAGTATATGAGTCCAGGTCAGCTGTGAGATTATACGGGTCTAGGTCAGCTGTGAGATTATATGAGTCTAGGTCAGCTGTGAGATTATATGAGTCAAGGTCAGTTGTGAGATTATATGAGTCAAGGTCAGTTGTGAGAGTATATGAGTCCAGGTCAGCTGTGAGATTATATGGGTCTAGGTCAGCTGTGAGATTATATGAGTCTAGGTCAGCTGTGAGATTATATGAGTCCAGGTCAGCGCTGAGATTATATGAGTCCAGGTCAGCTGTGAGATTATATATGAGACCAGGTCAGATGTGAGATTATATGAGTCCAGGTCAGCGCTGAGAGTATATGAGTCTAGGTCGGCTGGGAGAGTATATGAGTCTAGGTCAGCTGTTAGAGTATATGAGTCTAGGTCAGCTGTGAGAGAAATGAGTTGAGGTCAGCTGTGAGTTTATGGGCTGTGAGTTTATATGAGTCCATTAAGTCAGCTGTGAGAGTATATGAGTCCAGGTCAGCTGTGAGATTATACGAGTGTAGGTCAGCTGGGAGAGTATATGAATCTAGGTCAGCTGGGAGAGTATATGAGGCTAGGTCAGCTGTGAGAGAAATGAGTTGAGGTCAGCTGTGAGTTTATGGGCTGTGAGTTTATATGAGTCCATTAAGTCAGCTGTGAGAGTATGTGAGTATAGGTCAGCTGTGGGAGTATATGAGACCAGGTCAGCTGTGAGATTATATATAAGACCAGGTCAGATGTGAGATTATATAAGTCCAGGTCAGCGCTGAGAGTATATGAGTCTAGGTCGGCTGGGAGAGGATATGAGTCTAGGGCAGCTGTGAGATTATATGAGTCCAGGTCAGCTGTGAGTTTATGGGCTGTGAGTTTATATGAGTCCATTAAGTCAGCTGTGAGAGTATGTGAGTATAGGTCAGCTGTGGGAGTATATGAGTCCAGGTCAGCTGTGGGAGTATATGAGACCAGGTCAGCTGTGAGATTATATGAGTCTAGGTAAGCTGTTAGAGTATATGAGTCCAGGTCAGCTGTGAGATTATATGAGTGTAGGTCAGCTGGGAGAGTATATGAGTCTAGGTCAGCTGTGAGAGAAATGAGTCTAGGTCAGCTGTGAGATTATATGAGTCCAGGTCAGCGCTGAGATTATATGAGTCCAGGTCAGCTGTGGGAGTATATGAGACCAGGTCAGCTGTGAGATTATATGAGACCTGGTCAGCTGTGAGATTATATGAGTCCAGGTCAGCTATGAAATTATATGAGTCTAGGTCAGCTGGGAGAGGATATGAGTCTAGGTCAGCTGTGAGGGTATATGAGTCCAGGTGAGCTGTGAGATTATATGAGTCTAGGTCAGCTGGGTGAGTATATGAGTCTAGGTCAGCTGTGAGATTATATGAGACCTGGTCAGCTGGGAGAGTATATGAGTCTAGGGCAGCTGTGAGAGAAATGAGTCCAGGTCAGCTGTGAGATTATATGAGACCTGGTCAGCTGTGAGATTATATGAGACCAGATCAGCTGTGAGATATTATGAGTCCATGGCAGCTGTGAGAATATATGAATCTGGGTCAGATGTGAGATTATATGAGTCCAGGTCAGCTGTGAGATTATATGAGTCCAGATTAGCTGTGAGTTGATAATGAGAATAGGTTGACTGAGTTTTAAAGCATTTGAACACTGTGTTGCAAGGGCAAACTGTGTTGAATCTCCAAACAGTAGCTTATAATATACTTTTATATTTTGTTGTTATCTAAAGTTAGCCCATGCAGTCCATTGGTGAAGAGATTTCAGAGCTTGTCTGCTTTTCATTTGTGTGTTTGAAATGAATAAAAAAAGATAAAGAGCAGTAGAAGCGATACACTGAGGCAGTGATGACTGGTTTATTGTAGCCAGGGTTATTCCTGCTGCCATGTTTTGTGTGCCTTGTCTGTGTTTCAGCTCGAGCTCCTCACCACCATAAATGGAGGATTCACTTACATAAGCTCCATTGTAAGTCCTGTACTCCTGGGTGGTGCTTCTTGATGTCGGCTGCAGATACCACACATTAACAGGGGGTCACAAGGGGATTCTGAATTAGTTACAACACTTTCTGTGCAAAATCACAGCATTGTTCTATCACAGAAAAAAAATGAACTAAGGTTTATTTCAATCTGTTTAATCTGCACAAACAAAAACACAAAATACAAAGAGTTTTACTGAAAAGACCAATGACTGAATATGTGTCTTAAGTTCTGGAGTTTGCTAAGTTTTTTTGTAAGAGAAAACAATCATCCGATAGAACAAAACATTTCATGATGTAAGAAAAACGTTTATAGACTCCTTGTTGTGACCCCCTATCTAAGCGCTGCTTTATGTTTGCCATCTTTAACAATCACTTTGGGTTGCAGAGTACTGGTTTAACCTAATGTCTTTTTATTTCAGTTCATTTGTCCAGGAACTGGACGTATAGTATTACAGTAATAATGAGATGTAATTCATGTGAACTGTGACATTGTTTTATGTTGGATTCATATTAATATAACATTATTTGGTATGTTAATGTTTTAGTATTTAATATCATTATGTTTTTATAGTGTTTTAACCATTTCATTTTTTATAAGTAGTTTTCATTTTTCATATATACAGCGTATGTTTTTTAACCCTCAGAATTGAATATACTTTTTTATTATTATTCTACCATTCATATTCAAGCAAGTTCCCTCCCTTTTCTATAATTTGAGAATTTGAAATGTTGACATTTTTATTGTGAATATGTTGGTTGATTAAATAACAGAGACAATTTTTTTCCTTAAGATATTTTTCTTCAAATACATAGATTTTTTACACAAGATAATTGGACTGAATCATAACGATTGGTTTTCCTTTTTATAACTAGAAGATGTTTGATCTAAAAGCCAGGTGACTTGAAAGATATGAGACACAGATGCCTGTTAATTTAACAGACCTTTATTTCTATCTTAGTAGGCAATCACTTGTAAATTGAACCTGTATCATCAAAATAACTGTGTACTTTAAAATAAAATCTGTTTCCATGGTTATCACTGCAGACAGGTTTCTCTGTATAAGTTATGTAATATATGACACATCCCTCAAGTTACCGTGGCTACCATATTTTTAAAAACTTTTACATGTAGAGAAAGTGGAAAGATTCTGCATCATGTTTGTTATTTACTTATTCTTAGAAATGTCCTCTAAAGGTACTCTGTACGAGAGGTAATGCCACTGGCTGTGGTCCATGTTAGGCATCGGTGTTGTTTAAAGACTGTCCTGCTATAGAACAAATTCAAGATATTTGATTTAATTTCACTAAAACCTACTTGAAAATCAGTGTGTTTGGTGTGAAGTAACCAACTAATGATGTGACCCTACCCCTCCCCCCCCCGCACTACCATCCTCTACTGGACAATAACATCACAACCCAGTTTCTTGTCACTAAAAGCTAGACAACCAAGTACATTATCACTAAAATTTAGACAAGTCACTTGTCTTAGAAATTACATACCAAGTACCTTGTTTAAAGTTAGAAATTACATATCAAGTACCTTGTTTAAAGTTAGAAATTACATATCAGGTACCTTGTTTAAAGTTAGAAATTACATATCAAGTACCTTGTTTAAAGTTAGAAATTACATATCAAGTACCTAGTTTAAAGTTTCTGTTTCCAGTGTTTGTTTTAGTGTGTAATTTCCCTTTGTAAAATCCTGACAGTGATGAGATAGACAACTATAAATGTAATAGTTCAGGAATTTTCGCATTTAGTGACATCTGTAAGGTGAGCAATGAAACATTCAGTTTGAATATTGCAACCCATTATAGAACTCGTATATACTGGTATGGACTAAACTCCCAGCTATGGGAACAACTTGTGTCTGACCTCTAAACAAGGTTTTAATGAAATTGCTTTTGGTAAAAAAAAATATCACTTGACAATGTGACTGTCGTGTGTCTATTTATCTTAAATGTGCATTTACGTAGAATTAAAGTCAAAGAAGCATCAGTAGGAGACTCAGTTGATACCTTCAGGGATAAACAATTTGTTTAGTTAAAATACAGGAAAAAAAGTTTTACTCTAGATCATTCACTGAAATAAAAGGAAGGAGGAGTTATAACAAATGTGCCACAAAACCATTGTTAATACACCTAATTGATAGCTTAGAAATACCTCCATCATGGATATGTAATACAATTGTACTGATCCTATTTTTACAAAACTTCCATATAATGCCCCTTATTTCATTTGCCACCTTGCTCATCTTCTTTTATATATTGCCACATTTCTTTATAATGCCATTCTTTTTAAATGATGGCAGTATAACAAGTTTTTATGACGTTGTTGATTGTTATGCACAGTAGACCAAGCCAAAGAGAAGTCTTGTATCAGACAGCAGTCAGAACCTTACTTCAACCTTGGTCGACGCATGACCGCCAAACACAACATGGGAACCTTCGGTAATATGATGTTCCCAGGTAAGTAGTTAATGAACCAGTGATGGCACTTGTCTGGTTTACATGCCATGCCTCAGTTACATCAGCTTTCCTTAGATCAAACAATGCTTTTCATATTTGGAAATTTGAGATGAGGAAACTGTGTTTAAAGAAAATGAAGCTAGTTCTTTTTTGATAATGTAATCATCAACTATGAATACAGAAACAAACCACCCATTGTTATCTCCTTAATGCTATGTGTGTTTGGAAAATAAATAATGTGATGTGATTTGGCAGGTGGTCAGCTGAAGGAGTTTACAGACGAGGAAAGTAACTTCACAGCCCTGCTACAGAAAGCCATGGATATGGAGGGAGTGGACAGAGACACGGTCTACACACTGGTCAACCTCCTGATGAAGGTTAGAGGTCACATGATAGATTGTCATGTTGTGATACTTAATGGTACCTGTTCTTACTTCAGCATTCAGTGTTAACCTACTAGTGCTGTACCTGTACTTACTTCAGCATTCAGTGTTAACCTACTAGTGCTGTACCTGTACTTACCTCAGCATTCAGTGTTAACCTACTAGTGCTGTACCTGTACTTACTTCAGCATTCAGTGTTAACCTACTAGTGCTGTACCTGAGCTGAATTGAGTTAATCAGTGATGACCAGAGATCTCTGTTCATAGAGCGCCCATGTAGAGTTTCAAGGTTCGGGGTTGGAATCCCATTTTGTCCCCATTACTTTTTTACAACCATGTCACAGCACTTCATACATACCTTCGTATTGGCAAAGCTTGATTGTAACATTTTACTGAGTTCACTCCCTCTTTAAAGAGAACTTGTACTGTTGTTTTAGATTATGAAAGCTAAGCTGAAAGGTTTGTTTCCTTTCTGTTTACAGTTTATGGTGAAGTGTGGACACGAGAATGATGACAAAAACACCAGCAAGACACAGGTTTCTAAAATCATATTATAAATATAATCATGATGCAATCGTTTGGTAATAGCTAGTAAATAAGGCATATGAAGCTGTTTTTCAATTAAAATATTCATCAAAAGCAAGTTTCTGTGTGTTGAGGACATTCCTACAAAACATACCTAAAAGATATCAAGAAAGATATGAAGAGCCAACATTGTATGAGTTGTATAGCTGTAGAGCCAACATTGTATGAGTTGTAGAGCTGTAGAGCCAACGTTGTATGAGTTGTATAGCTGTAGAGCCATCATTGTATGAGTTGTACAGCTGTAGAGCCTACATTGTATGAGTTGTATAGCTGTAGGGCCAACATTGTATGAGTTGTAGAGCTGTAGAGCCAACGTTGTATGAGTTGTATAGCTGTAGAGTCAACATTGTATGAGTTGTATAGCTGTAGAGCCAAAATTGTATGTATTGTATAGCTATAAAGCTGTAGAGCCAATATTGTAGGAGTTGTATAGCTGTAGAGCCAACATTGTATGAGTTGTAGAGGTGTAGAGCCAACATTGTATGAGTTGTACAGCTGTAGAGCCACCATTGTATGAGTTGTATAGCTGTAGAGCCATCATTGTATGAGTTGTATAGCTGTAGGGCCAACAATGTATGAGTTGTAGAGCTGTAGAGCCAACATTGTATGAGTTATATAGCTGTAGAGTCAACATTGTATGAGTTGTATAGCTGTGAGCCAACATTGTATGAGTTGTATAGCTGTAGGGCCAACAATGTATGAGTTGTAGAGCTGTAGAGCAAACATTGTATGAGTTGTATAGATGTAGAGCTGTAGAGCCAACATTGTATGTATTGTATAGCTGTAAAGCTGTAGAGCTGTAGAGCCAACATTGTATGAGTTGTAGAGGTGTAGAGCCAACATTGTATGAGTTGTAGAGCTGTAGAGCCAACGTTGTATGAGTTGTATAGCTGTAGAGCCAACATTGAATGAGTTGTAGAGCTGTAGAGCCAACGTTGTATGAGTTGTATAGCTGTAGAGCCATCATTGTATGAGTTGTATAGCTGTAGAGCCATCATTGTATGAGTTGTATAGCTGTAGAGCCAACATTGAATGAGTTGTAGAGCTGTAGAGCCAACGTTGTATGAGTTGTATAGCTGTAGAGCCAAAATTGTATGTATTGTATAGCTATAAAGCTCTAGAGCCAACATTGTAGGAGTTGTATAGCTGTAGAGCCAACATTGAATGAGTTGTAGAGCTGTAGAGCCAACATAGTATGAGTTGTACAGCTGTAGAGCCACCATTGTATGAGTTGTATAGCTGTAGGGCCAACAATGTATGAGTTGTAGAGCTGTAGAGCCAACGTTGTATGAGTTGTATAGCTGTAGAGCCATCATTGTATGAGTTGTATAGCTGTAGAGCCAAAATTGTATGTATTGTATAGCTATAAAGCTGTAGAGCCAATATTGTAGGAGTTGTATAGCTGTAGAGCCAACATTGTATGTATTGTATAGCTATAAAGCTGTAGAGCCAACATTGTAGGAGTTGTATAGCTGTAGAGCTGTAGAGCCAACATTGTATGAGTTGTAGAGCTGTAGAGCTAACATTGCATGATTTGTAGAGCTGTAGAGCCATCATTGTATGAGTTGTAGAGCTGTAGAGCTAACATTGCATGATTTGTAGAGCTGTAGAGCCATCATTGTATGAGTTGTAGAGCTGTAGAGCCATCATTGTATGAGTTGTAGAGCTGTAGAGCCATCATTGTATGAGTTGTAGAGCTGTAGAGACAACATTGTATGAGTTGTATAGATGTAGAGCTGTAGAGCCAACGTTGTATGAGTTGTATAGCTCTAGAGCCAACAGTGTATGAGTTGTAGAGCTGTAGAGCCAACATTGTATGAGTTGTATAGCTGGATGAATCAGCTGGGTGCTTACTCAGAGTATGGATCGAATCATCCTGAAGGGTATACAGGGTGATTGGTATTGAGTATGTAAATATAAGTAGAGGGGTGTGAAGGTTTGGCTGTAACGGTGGCACAAAGATATCACTGGATAAATTTATCATAAGTGAGAAATTAATTGAATATGCATGAACTCCCTTAACACTGCATGCATTTAGATTCAAATTACAGATTGTCAGGCATCTTGAAGATGTTATTTTGAAAACTTAAGACCATAACTCATTGGAAATATTTGGTCCTGTTTTCTTTTGTATCTAAGACCCTATATTATCCTTGTGTTATAACAGTTTTTGTGTTTTTTTAGAATATTGTCCTGAGACACCTGAACATCTTACTGGGCTATAACCAGACAGAGAAATCCTTCAGCGTGCCTCCTAACAAGCTAAGGTATATTATCTCATCGTCCCTCATTCACCATGCTTTTTAGCAAGTTCTGCTAATTTTACCATGTTTCCTAAATGCCTGAAAAACATGTCGAAAGATAAGGCCCTTTTTGCCTCTTTGGCCTGTCTGACCCTTTCTTGTGAGATGATAAATGTCCTGAGCTGAAGGCTGATGTAGAGTTTAAAGTCTTGTGATGTTTGTTTTCAGAACCTCAGCCGTATTCAATGCGTTTCTGTCTGGAGTTCCTGCAGTAAGTCTCAATGTTGTGTTATTTCCATTTGCATTAAACATGAACTCATTCTTTTACAATTTTTTTTTTTTAAATTTTATTTTCCCTTTGTTATATGAAGACAACATATGATTGAAACATTGTTAGTACATTACTTTTGATCTTTTGGTCCTCAAAAATAAATTGTATTTATATTGATTATGAATGCACTTGCTATTTACTGAACAAATGGTCTACCTGTTACAGGTGCTTGACCGTAACTTTGGCCTTGGCAGTACCATACTGCCCATTACACTGCTGCTTCTCCAGTACAGCCCATCTCCCCAGCGCTACGCCAGCGACTACCAGCCTCCTAACTATACTTTGTGGTTCCTTGAGCCCCACACTCGTATCTCCTGGCTGTCAACTCTGCTGGTCATACTCTACAAGGTAGGTAACACAGACATCACACTCTCGTACCTGTATACTGGTATTTCCTGGCTGTCAACTCTACTGGACATACTCTACACGGTCGATTACACAATTCCATTGTTTGCTTACATTTATTAGCTCACCTGGTCTGAAGGACCATGGTGAGCTTATGCCCTACCGCAGCGTCTGTCGTCCGTTGTCCGTCCGTCTGTCGTCCGTCCGTCCGTCAACTTTTCCTTTAAAACGCTACTAGTCATGAACGACTGAGCAGATTTTGACCAATTGTGGTCAAAAGCATCCTTGGGAGAAAGGGAACCAATTTTGTATAAACCATGGGTGTGGCCCCCAAGGGGCCTGAGGGGCGGGGGCAAATAGGGAAAACATAGCAAGTTATTCTTTAAAATCCCTCTTCATCGGTAGGAATAAAAGGATTTGTTCCATATTTGGTCTGAAGCATCCTTGGGTGAAGGGGAACCAATTTTGTATAAACCGTGGGTCTGGCCCCCCCTGGGGCTGAGGTGCGGGGCCCAATAGGGGAAATATATCAAATTCTTTAAAATCCTTTTTCTTCTGTTGGAATAAAAGGATTTGTTCCATATTTGTTCTGAAGCATCCTTGGGTGAAGGGGAACCAATTTTGTATAAACTGTGGGTTTGGCCCACCAGGGGCCTGAGAGGTGGGACCCAATAGGGGTATGACCCCCCTAGGTTGCATAGGGGTGGGGCTCTGTTTGAAGTTTGTTCTCGCCATATCTCAAGTACTGGATGGATCTTTCTGAAATTTCATATGTACTTACAGCACCTACTTCATACCAATTATTTTAAACATTTTCAGGTGAGCGATACAGGCCCTCTGGGCCTCTTCTATTTATCAAACCTTAGACATTTGTCTTCCCACATTAATAGTCCTCCAATGATATTACCAGAGGCGACTATAGGTTTGTAGTGTGTTACCAGTTCATAAACTGCCATATGGCCATCATCTCTATTCAACTTTTGTTACACAGTATCATTGGAATATCTTCAATAAGATTCAATAGTTTAGAAATATGTAATATCAAAGTTTTACTTTATACATAAACAGCGTACATATTAAACATGTCATGGCTTGACAAAGGGCCATGTCGGTCTTTAAACGTTGCGACACATTTAATGCGTACACATTTGATGCGTACATTATTTGTGTATAAAGTAAAACTTTGATATTAGTATCATTGGAAGTTTTGGAGTATTTGAAACACCTGAACATTTTTATTACAATATTTTTAGTTGAAGTTTTGTGAGTAATGTGTAAAGTATGAGTGTTGTGTTAACAGTACCAGTTCTACACCTCCCCTGTGTCGGCCATCATACAGACACTGATCCGCATCGTCATCAACACCCTAGACGCCCAGCATCATCGCTGTAAGACTTCTCATGATGATGGCTTCCCGCCCCCAAGTCCGTCTGTCATCAGAAGCAAAGGTAAAATTTGTGAGGTTTACTTTAACTGATAAATTACAACCACTGTGACTAATACAGTAATGCTAGGTAAAGGCAACACAATTATTCCAGTCTTAAATGAGAAATTGTCTCTGAAGTGAAAGTAGTGTCAGATTATATTTTGATGACCATGTTACCCTAGGTTGATTTTAGAATTTTATAGAATATAATTTTTTGATGTACAGACAACAAAATGAGCAATGACCTTGAAAAAATTCAAGAGACAGAAACCCCACCACAGAGCCCTAAATCCAAGGAAACTGTGGCACTGAATCTTAAGTCCCCTTCAGAGGCCAGTACTGTGTCCTACACCAGAGAAGGAGGAGCTACCGGGGGTTGCTTTCCTATCAAGGAGCAGAGTGTGGAGGAGACTACAGAAACCCCTAAACGACCTGTTCGACAGCGCAAGCCACGCAAGATTATAGAGTACAATGAACCAGACAGTGGCAAGGGGTCAAAGGTCAAGGACAAGGATGAAAGTCAGTCACTTAAGGTAAGGGTAATCAAAGAACTAGGGTGTATAACAGTCAGTCAGGGTTAGGAAAAAAGGAAAATTTGTTTTATCTGACAACCAGTGTTGTTAAAATAGATGAAATGGAATGGTATTCAGGTGTTATGCATGTGTACAGGTAACAAAATGTTTCCCTTTTCTTTATTATGAAAAATCTGTATTATCACTTTTGCTTAAACACCTTGATCTGGAGTAATGTTGTAATTAGATGTCAATCTGCAGTGTGATATGTCATTGGCCTGTCAATGGTTAATACATGTATTGTAGGAGAAGAGTGGGGGTGGGATCCACCATTCGCGAGCTGTCCGGGCCCGCCCACTGTCTCCCCTGGCCCGCTCACCTACCACACCTATCTCTCGCCCCACAACTCCTACGACCTGTCCTACATCTCCAGCCAAAATCCTGACCACTCCTACAGAGGAGAAACAGACTTCACCCTCTTCTGTGGAGAGTATCATGGCTCAGCAACTCCAGGCGTTTTCCACCTCTAAATCAGACACATTGCCTGAGAGTCCAGAAGATCAATCTGAGGCCGATGATAAGAGTGGAAGTGCCATTGTTGAGCCTGTGTCGGTGATACCCGCGTACCTCAGTGGTAAGGGGGCACGCTCAGTGAGTAGCAGCATCACAGATGGGTCCAGTTCTCGCTCAACCACAACCACCACGGCCGACATAAGTCACGGAGGAATGTCCGAGATTGAGAGTGCAGAGGATAGTGAGAAGACTCAGACAACCTCTGATGCTGATGACTCTGAGAAACACACAGACTCTGGAGGTGATCTGACACAAGAGGACAACAAAGGTATGTGTGTGTGTGTGTGTTTGTGTGTGTGTGTGTGTGTGAGGGTGGGTTGGGGAGGAGCGTCGTCACTCAGGCACAGCGGTGGCCATCATCAAAATTAAATAAAATGCTTGTGCTGATTTATCTGAGATGGAACTGCTGTGTGTTGCTGCTATCACTGTTACATACTTATCATATTACTTGTACCAGTGGTCTTTATGTAAGTGAGCAATAATAACTCATTGTTACATACTTATCATATTACTTGTACCAGTGGTCTTTATGTAAGTGAGCAATAAAAACTCACTGTTACATACTTATCATATTACTAGTACCAGTGGTCTTTATGTAAGTGAGCAATAAAAACATAGTATACTGTAAAAATGGATATTTTGGCATTTGGAAATGATAATGTTTTTTGTGTCGAGTAAATTTGCATGAAAATATCCACGTGTGAAAAAATATTTATGGATTATATATATGATATGGATTATATATATATAAGTGATAAAGATTTCAGAACCATTGCCAATATGAAAATGTCAACACTGATCTGTTTAACTCATTCAAATTTGGAAGAGTTCAAATGTGTTTTCAGGGGTGAATGAGTTCAAGAGTCATAATGCAAACATTTCCACACATGAATATTTCCACTTTTACCGTAGATAAAATTCCACATCATGTGTAGCAAAATTGATTCTCCTTCAAATTCTTAAATAAAGGATGGTGGTTGTCTAGAAAACTAATCAAATACAAAGAAACAGTTCCCTGTACATTGTTGTTCATGTCTTTAACGGGTGATCATGTATGTGATTCCAGGTACTCTTGGTTTGTGTTAGTTTGATGCACTGAGTTCAGATTAACAGTATAAGCTAAATGACCTATTACTCTGTCCTCCAGGTGACCAGGACTTACTGACCTTGCCCGGCAGATGTAACACCATCAAACCAAACTTCCGTCAGAGGAAGGCGCGTAAGACGGGACTGACCACTGTAGAACTACAGAAAATCTACCCGGACATGACGGAACCTTCACAGGAGGAGCACAAACCTACAGGGTACAATCTACACCCGGACAGTTCAATCCGTTCTTAGTACATGTACATACATACGGAAACCGTAGGTGTAGCTAGCTTGATCATTATTATACAAATCCACGAAGTAAGCTCCAATAGTAGCAAATGCACTGTAGTTACAAAGTTGTTATAAATACAGGTTAGTTTTTATCCAATGTAAGCTTAATGCTGCCTCTTTACAAAATATTTGACAGGGAAACAACAAAACCTTAGAGCGATCAAACTTGACATGAGGAATGGACTTCTAAAAATTAAATTTGGAAAATTCAGCGTAAAGGAAAAAATATACATGTATATAATGTAGCAAAACTGGACTGGGTCGATCGTCGGCAACCAGGTAGCTCGATTGGTAGAGCGTCTGTATAGAGTTTGGAGGGTCCTGTGTTCAAACCACGGTCTGGCCATGCATTTTTCTGCCCCTGTTACAATAGTAAGGCAGTACTATTAAGTATGATGTAAGAGACCACATGGTGTAAATTCAGTTGGACTGAATTATGATGGTATACAGTACTATAGACATGTATGTATTAAGTCCATTTGTTACAAAATAGAAATTTTATTTGACTCTTAATCAAGTTTTATGATATATTTTTTAAAAATTATGCAGTTATTTCAAGTTTACTTATCAAATTTTCTCATTCCTTTTTTGTTTTTATTACAGTCGTAGATCAAGGAAAAACGAACAATTAACAAACAGGAAAACTCCTAAAAAACCGACCTCCTCCCGGTTCGGTGATAATGTAATGGTGGAGCGGTGTCCTGAGTGTAACGTCCTCCTGGAGCAGTATGACGAGGACACTATTGGTTATTGTATCGTAGTTCTGTCTACATTTATACACAGGGAGCCATCACTAGCCACACCCCTTCTGTTGGAGACACTACAGTGTGTGTCCATGTAAGTGTCATCTCACATGTACAGGAAATCACTAGCCACACCCCTTCTGTTGGAGGCAGTACAGTGTTTGTCCAAGTAAGTGTCATGTCACATGTACAGGTAACCACTAGCCACACCCCTTCTGTTGGAGGCAGTACAGTGTTTGTCCAAGTAAGTGTCATGTCACATGTACAGGTAACCACTAGCCACACCCCTTCTGTTGGAGACACCACAGTGTGTGTCCAAGTAAGTGTCATTTCACATGTACAGGTAATCACTAGCCCCATCCCTTCTGTTGGAGACACTACAGTGCGTGTCCAAGTAAGTGTCATCTCACATGCACAGGTAATCACTAGCCACACCCCTCCTGTTGGGGACACTACAGTGTATGTCCAAGTAAGTGTCATCTCACATGTACGGGTAATCACTAGCCACACCCCTTCTGTTGGAGGCAGTACAGTGTTTGTCCAAGTAAGTGTCATGTCACATGTAAAGGTAATCCCTAGCCACACCCCTTCTATTGGAGACACTACAGTGCGTGTCCAAGTAAGTGTCATCTCACATGTACGGGTAATCACTAGCCACACCCCTTCTATTGGAGACACTACAGTGCGTGTCCAAGTAAGTGTCATCTCACATGCACAGGTAATCACTAGCCACACCCCTCCTGTTGGGGACACTACAGTGTATGTCCAAGTAAGTGTCATCTCACATGAACAGGTAATCACTAGCCACACCCCTCCTGTTGGGGACACTACAGTGTATGTCCAAGTAAGTGTCATCTCACATGCACAGGTAATCACTAGCCACACCCCTTCTATTGGAGACACTACAGTGCGTGTCCAAGTAAGTGTCATCTCACATGCACAGGTAATCACTAGCCACACCCCTCCTGTTGGGGACACTACAGTGTATGTCCAAGTAAGTGTCATCTCACATGTACCGGTAATCACTAGCCACACCCCTTCTGTTTGAGACACTACAGTGTGTGTCCAAGTAAGGGTCATCTCACATGTACAGGTAATCGCTAGCCACATCCCTTCTGTTGGAGACACTACAGTGCGTGTCCAAGTAAGTGTCATGTCACATGTACAGGTAACCACTAGCCACACCCCTTCTGTTGGAGAAACTACAGTGTGTGTCCAAGTAAGTGTGATCTCACATGTACAGGTAATAGCCAGATCCCTTCTGTGTTAGAATGCAATGCCGGGTGTACTTCAATTTGTCTGTAGTGCTTGTCCGGATGATACCTTGAGAATGATTGATTGTACAAGGTTCAAACTTGGTGGGTGGGTTGCTCGAGATTACAGTCGTAGATCAAGGAAAAACGAACAATTAACAAACAGGAAAACTCCTAAAAAACCGACCTCCTCCCGGTTCGGTGATAATGTAATGGTGGAGCGGTGTCCTGAGTGTAACGTCCTCCTGGAGCAGTATGACGAGGACAAAATTGGTTACTGTATCGTAGTTCTGTCTACATTTATACACAGGGAGCCATCCCTAGCCACACCCCTTCTGTTGGAGAAACTACAGTGTGTGTCCAAGTAAGTGTGATCTCACATGTACAGGTAATAGCCAGATCCCTTCTGTGTTAGAATGCAATGCCGGGTGTACTTCAATTTGTCTGTAGTGCTTGTCCGGATGATACCTTGAGAATGATTGATTGTACAAGGTTCAAACTTGGTGGGTGGGTTGCTCGAGATTACAGTCGTAGATCAAGGAAAAACGAACAATTAACAAACAGGAAAACTCCTAAAAAACCGACCTCCTCCCGGTTCGGTGATAATGTAATGGTGGAGCGGTGTCCTGAGTGTAACGTCCTCCTGGAGCAGTATGACGAGGACACTATTGGTTATTGTATCGTGGTTCTGTCTACATTTATACACAGGGAGCCATCCCTAGCCACACCCCTTCTGTTGGAGACGCTACAGTGTGTGTCCAAGTAAGTGTAATCTCACATGTACAGGTAATAGCCACATCCCTTCTGTGTTAGAATGCAATGCAGGGTGTACTTCAATTTGTCTGTAGTGCTTGTCCGGATGATACCTTGAGAATGATTGATTGTACAAGGTTCAAACTTGGTGGGTGGGTTGCTCGAGATTACAGTCGTAGATCAAGGAAAAACGAACAATTAACAAACAGGAAAACTCCTAAAAAACCGACCTCCTCCCGGTTCGGTGATAATGTAATGGTGGAGCGGTGTCCTGAGTGTAACGTCCTCCTGGAGCAGTATGACGAGGACACTATTGGTTACTGTATCGTAGTTCTGTCTACATTTATACGCAGGGAGCCATCACTAGCCACGCCCCTCCTGTTGGAGACACTACAGTGTGTGTCAAAGTAAGTGTCATGTCACATGTACAGGTAACCACTAGCCACACCCCTTCTGTTGGAGGCAGTACAGTGTTTGTCCAAGTAAGTGTCATGTCACATGTAAAGGTAATCCCTAGCCACACCCCTTCTGTTGGAGAAACTACAGTGTGTGTCCAAGTAAGTGTCATTTCACATGTACAGGTAATCACTAGCCCCATCCCTTCTGTTGGAGACACTACAGTGCGTGTCCAAGTAAGTGTCATCTCACATGTACCGGTAATCACTAGCCACACCCCTTCTATTGGAGACACTACAGTGCGTGTCCAAGTAAGTGTCATCTCACATGTACAGGTAATAGCCACATCCCTTCTGTGTTAGAATGCAATGCAGGGTGTACTTCAATTTGTCTGTAGTGCTTGTCCGGATGATACCTTGAGAACGATTGATTGTACAAGGTTCAAACTTGGTGTGTGGGTTGCTCGAGTGATTTTGGGCGTTGTTCGCAGAGGTCAAGATCACCGTTGTTGAAAATAAAATAAAACTTGATTGGGCTTGTCCGGTTGATAATTTCAAAACGAATGATCATACAAAGTTCAAACTTGGTGTTTGGGTGGCTCTTGTGGATGTGTAGAACCCGATTGTTTTTGGGTTTGGTACGCCAGAGTTCAAGCTCATTGTTGCTGAAAATAGATTTCTGCTTGGCTGGGCTTGTCTTGATAACTCAAAAACAAATGTTGATAAAAAGTTCAAACTTCATGTGAGGGTTTCTCTACAGGATATGAAGAACCTTATTGACTTTAGGCGTGGTTCACCAGAGGTCTAGGTCACCATTGCTAGAAATAGGGGTTGGATGGATATGCTGCCCCTTGCAGCTTTCTAGTTATACCAGGTGTAAAACATTATTATCTTAAATATCCTATCTAATATCAAAATGATATGGTATCATGTTTTATATTGTTTTTAAAGGATTTTCTTCCATGGTTTACTTTATATATATATAATGTACTTGAATGTGATGACAAGTAGTAATGATGCTATAGACATTTTATTTTTATGGTTTCAGAATTGCTTCCAGTAGCCCTTTTGTTTGGCAAGGACAAAGGTTTGAATGACTTAACATCTGAGACCTCGCTGTCTCTTTTGACAAATGGAATTCTTTGCTTTTCATGCATTGATGATTTTTAGGTCACCTGAGCTTTAGCTCAAGTGACCTATTGCTATCCGTTTTCGTCCTTCGTCGTCCGTCGTCCGTCGTCCGTTAACATTTTACATTTCAAACTTAAAGTCAAGTTCTGCTGGGCCGTTTGAACTGAAAGTTGGTAGGAATGATCAGCTCATGGTCCTGACAAAGTTAAGTTAACATTATACTATTTTTTACTCAAATTGGTACATATTTCAACAACGAAAATAAATACTGTAGACTCAGGTGACCGTTAAGGCCCATGGGCCTCTTGTTTATAATTATGTTTTTATTTAAATGCAACTCAATGTTGCAAAATATTGTAAGTAATATTGTCACAGTGTAATTATATAATTTTAAGATTACAGTGGAATCCTCAACTGTACTGGAAATTTAACATTGTTAAAATATGAATTGTGTAATAAAAATTGAAATCTTCGTGCTCAGAGGTACATGTAGATTGTAATGATGACCTTGACCTGTACTGCTGTTTTTAGTAACCTGATGGTTCCGGGTAACAGCGTCAGTATAGCCCGCCAGTTCCTCCGTTGCTGTCTGCACCAACTGGCCCCCAATGGCGTGTTTCCCATGCTGTTCCAGAGTACCCTTGAAGGTAGCACCAGGAAACTGTTTTGAAAAATAATTCTAAAAATAAATTTAAAAGGTATATGAATTGGAATGGTATAAGTGAGTTTGAAAGATTTGTATTACCTGTTTACTTAAATTGACTGCTTACTGTAGATTGGTCTTTTCAGTTTTTGTCTCCTGAATTTCAAATACCAAAAACAGCATATGCGATTTACAATTTTTTTCAGACCCTCCGTTTTTCAAGACGATGGCAGCTGCGTTGGTAGACTTCAATGAGCTAACCTGCCATGCTCCTATTCAGTTTCTGTTGGAGGTAACAAACAACAGGGAAATTTTAAGTTGACAACTGTTTATTCCACACTCAATCACAGAATGGCTTTTTTGCTATTGGTTAATGAACATTCAGTAGAATTTCATCAATACAAAAATTTTTGTTTTAATTTCAATAAAAATGAGGTTTTCTGTAGTTTCCTGAAGTGGCATGTCAAACATAGTAGAATACATTATGGAATGTACTTTTTATGTATATTTGAAAAAGTGGAAGAAAAATGTTGGTAAACCAACACAATTATCCGACACGGAGATCCAACGTCCTACGGGCAATGATCTGTGGTCTGTCTGGTACAGGAATCAGAATTATATATATTTGTTATAGATTCATTGGTTCTATAGTCAATACAACAACAAAAATATTTTTTTTAATAGATAAGAATGTTCTGTATTTAATTTTAAGTTGCCCTTTTAGATTAAGGATTCTTATGGCTAGAAAAGATACACCTGCATGGGTTGAATCTTTAAAAAATAAATACAGATTTTAGGGCGTATCGAAGGGAGAAATTATGCTTTTAAATGGTACTTTTGTTTTTCAATTTCTCGGTCAACTGTTATATAATTTAGTATGTGTCCTGTGTCCTTAGGGGTTAAACAACCGTAAGAATCTGCCACCTCCTGAGAACATAGTCATCATCCTCAACAATCTGTCAACCTACATGAACTACATCTCCCTGGAAACCTCTGCTCCCATGGTTACCAGCATCATCAGTCAGTTTGACATTTTCATGAGGAAGTTACCGACTGTGCTGCCCAACCCTTGTGACACCACAGCACTCCTTAAAATCATCCTGGCTATCCTCAAAGTATCGGGCATCAACAACGCCAGGGTAAGTAGTTTATACATCAACAATGCCAGGGCAAGTAGTTTATACATCAACAACGCCAGAGTAAGTAGTTTATACATCAACAACGCCAGGGTTAGGTCTTCATACATCAACAACCCCAGGGTAAGTTGTTCATACATCAACAACGCCAGGGTAAGTTGATCATACATCAACAACGCCAGAGTAAGTAGTTTATACATCAACAATGCCAGGGTAAGTTGATCATACATCAACAATGCCAGGGTATGTAGTTTATACATCAACAACGCCAGAGTAAGTAGTTTATACATCAACAATGCCAGGGTAAGTTGATCATACATCAACAATGCCAGGGTATGTAGTTTATACATCAACAACGCCAGAGTAAGTAGTTTATACATCAACAACGCCAGGGTTAGTTGTTCATATATCAAGAATGCCAGGGTTAGTTGTTCATACATTAACAATGCCAGGGTTAGTTGTTCATACATCAAGTATGCTAGGGTTAGTTGTTCATACATCAACAATGCCAAGGTTAGTTGTTCATACATCAAGAATGCCAGGGTTAGTTGTTCATACATCAACGATGCCAGGGTTAGTTGTTCATACATCAAGAACGCCAGGGTTAGTTGTTCATACATCAAGGATGCCAGGGTTAGTTGTTCATACATCAACAACACCAGGGTTAGTTGTTCATACATCAACAACGCCAGGGTAAGTTGTTCATGCATCAACAACGCCAGGGTTAGTTGTTCATACATCAACAACGCCAGAGTAAGTAGTTTATACATCGTCTATGCCAGGGTAAGTTGTTCATGCATCAACAATGCCAGTGTAAGTAGTTTATACATCAACAACGCCAGAGTAAGTAGTTTATACATCGTCTATGCCAGGGTAAGTTGTTCATGCATCAACAATGCCAGTGTAAGTAGTTTATACATCAACAACGCCAGAGTAAGTAGTTTATACATCGTCTATGCCAGGGTAAGTTGTTCATGCATCAACAATGCCAGTGTAAGTAGTTTATACATCAACAATGCCAGGGCAAGTAGTTTATACATCAACAACGCCAGAGTAAGTAGTTTATGCATCAACAATGCCAGGGTAAGTTGTTCATACATCAACAACGCCAGGGTAAGTTGTTCATACATCAACAACGCCAGAGTAAGTAGTTTATACATCAACAACGCCAGGGTTAGGTCTTCATACATCAACAACACCAGGGTAAGTTGTTCATACATCAACAACGCCAGGGTTAGTTGTTCATACATCAACAACGCCAGGGTAAGTTGTTCATACATCAACAACGCCAGGGTTAGTTGTTCATGCATCAACAATGCCAGGGTAAGTTGTTCATACATCAACAATGCCAGGGTAAGTTGTTCATACATCAACAACGCCAGGGTTAGTTGTTCATACATCAACAACGCCAGGGTTAGTTGTCCATACATCAACAAGGCCAGGGTTAGTTGTCCATACATCAACAAAATACATTGTTCATGGTAAAGAAGTCAAAGAAGGAGAATGAGACAAAGTCTATACATTGTCTCTGGTAACATTACAATAAGAAAGCCTTATACAATATTGTAAAGCTTGATTAAACATTTGTTTTATCTTTGACAGTATATCCTTGAACCCTTCTCCAAACTGCTCAGCTTCACCATACAGAACTGCTCCTTCAAACTCCAACATCTCCTTGACATCTGTTCCGTGTGTAACCGTGTCTTCTTCAAGGTAAGATAAACTTCAACACATTCTTGACATCTATTACGTTATAATTAAATGTACTTCTTTTAAGATGACACATATTCCAACATTATAAGACTTGTTTTTTGGATGATTAGTCTGTATATTTGTAGTTTATCAAAGCAACGATTGGAAACTTTGAGTAACATTTATATTTGATAACACCCTAAGAAACACCACTTACAGCTGTACACCGTTTTGGTTTGACAGGAAAGGGACAAGCTGTATCTTACTAGGACCGTCATCTTTGAGCTGATCCAAGCTATGAAGTTCAAACACAGTCTGCCGGATGAGAACTTCCTCCTCCTGGTACAGGTAGATATATTGATTTATTAAAACCCAGGATATCTGGGGTCAAGGTCTCAAGGCAATGTTTCTGATATATGATGATCTATGTATATCATTCATGGTTCTGATGTTATGACACTGTATAACAGGAAATTTTCGCTACAGTTTAATATTTGCACTTTTCATCCTCAGAAATGAGGGCGAATTTATCATCAAAGCGAACATTAGTATACAACATAATATACATAGTGATTAAAAGTGAAGGGCAAATTATGAACTGGGCGAATATTGATTTTAACTTTGAAGGGCAAAAGTTGGACTGGGCAAAAAATTCCTGGTATACAGTATTGTTTGTACCTGTGTTGCAGTTCGTTGTGCTGGATGCGGGGGGCACGATTGGAAACACAAACATTGTTGGGGAGGGAGGCATGCTTTATCACAGTCATGCTAACATGCTCATCAGTACGTGTGCGGCAGAGTGTATGAGGGACCACCTCCATGACTCCATCGAGTTTGTAGCTGACCCCCACACTCTCACAAAGGTCAAGGTAAGGTTGCAGCCTTATTATCCATAGAGGTTAATCTGCACTCTCTAAGTAAGACCAAGACTATAAAATATGTTCATACTTTTTAAAAGTCAATAGTCTTTCATTTTCAATAAAGCAAACATATTTCCAGAATGGCTATTTTTTGTGACCCAATGTCCCGTATTTGAACAAATTTAACTTATTTTCGAAAATTGTCCCAAACTGTTGCAATGTCTTTATCTGACCTGCCATATATACAACGGGTGGCTGATGATTGTAAAACTCTATGAGTTTTTGATATGGACAAGTAGCAGTTGTCACTACATGTAAAGTCTCCTTGCAGAGTAATATGAAGGGAGGGTCTAGCAGCCTGAATGAGGACACCCTAGGGAGCCAGCTCAAGTCAGGCATAGCCCAGTTTGTTTCTCTTGAGATGACTCGGGGCAATGGTCGGGACAACAGGGCTATCTCACGGTACCTACCCTGGCTATATCACCCTCCCTCCACCGTACAACAGGGGTGAGTGTCAACCATCATTACCTCTGTCCTATGCAGAAAGGGAAACTTGAAAGAAGTTTTATTTTTTTATATTAAGTTTCTTTTTTATTTCATTACTATCCCAGAGAAAATTTGAAGTAAGTCTCTGTTTTGACATTTCAGACCAAAAGAGTTTACCGACTGTATTGGACACATCCGTCTGCTGTCCTGGATTCTCATTGGCTCCCTGACTCACACAGCAATGACAGAAGGCTCCGCCCCCATCTCATGCCTTCCAATCCCATTGGATGCCAGCACCTATATAGCTGAACACGTTCTTGTAATCATGACTGGCTTTGATGAAAGGTTAAAGGTACAATTGTTTCCTCTGTTGCCTTATTGTATGATTTTCACTGTATGAAATGTATCGTTTGTGCACTATTGAAATTAGCCTTTGTGTGATGTACTAACTCCATTGTTACCTTCTTTACAGGACAATATCCTTCACATGAGCTCTCTTTTCCATGCCTTTATACTATGCCAGGTAAGTACAAATGTAATTCATGAGTTTTAAGTAATTGCTATTTTAGCAAACCATGGTACCTTTTAATACTGTTGTTGTAATCAAATGTATACAGGGAAATCGGTTCAGCAGCTTAACTTTTGATTGGGCAAAACAAATTCTGTTACAAAGTTATGTACAACTTTTACCTCTGATGCATATTTTCAATGGAATGAATGACTTTTGATAATTATAAGTTCACTTCAAAATTTGATCTTTGAACTTTGACCTCTGTCACTAGCTATGGACAATGTACTGCGAGTCGGCTGCAGCCCAGCACCCTATCCACAGTGATAGTTACAAGGTGGCCTCCTCTACCGTAATGGACTTCTGGGGGCGGGTAACTCCAGGGATACTACAGATGCTTTCTACACCAAAGGAGCCTGGGGTAGGTTTACCCTTTTAGGGATGAGTGCTTGTAGGGATCTGGGTGTGAAGGGGCTGCTTAACTATGGGGAAGAATCGTGACTCTGTCTCATCCTTATCTCATCCAGGTCTCAAATGTGCCACCTACAATATCTCACAGAAGTATCTACTACTGATATACATACTCTTTATTGTTATTTATAACAGTTCCTATTGTTATTCATTACAATACCTCAACTTCATATAATGTCAAAACAATATCAGAACATCACACAATGGAAAGTTTCTGGTTGATGTCTATTGCAAAACTGCCATCTGTCCAAGTTTAGAAAAGAATTTCCCAGATTTGATGAGCATGAACAAATATCCAACTGATTTTCACATATCCCAGGAAAGCACAAGGATATTTTATCACAATTTACATTTGAAAAAAAGACTGTTGAATACATTTGTATAGGCATTCAAAGTTTATATATACATGGAGCACCCAGGTAAATCCAATTTTCTCCAAATATCATTTTTAAATACTTTTGAATAGATGAAGATGTTATTGTTGGTTTGATGTTGTGTGGAAGTACTCCTACCCAGGACCACCTAATGTTGAATGATTCTGATCTAGAAATAGCATTGTGAATTTTGCAATGTGTATTACATTTTTCTGTGTATTTCTTACAATATATCATTCTCGATTTCCAGGGGTTACGCTCACGTTCGCTCTCTACACCCCTGGAATATGTTATGACAAAATTAAAGGCACAAAGATAGCTGTTTGATTGGTCTCAGGTAAAAAAAAATGACCAATCGCTAGGCTGATACTTGTCCTTTGAAGATTACAAAGGAGAGACGCCCGACTTCAAAGCCTGTCAATTTTTACCGTTACGTGACTGCGAGATTTTTTTGATGTACATTAAAGGATTGAACTAGTCTTCTTGTCTCAATAACAAGGTGGCGCATACCAAGCCTTCAATTTTGCTATGACATATTCCAGGGGGGTAGAGAGCGAAAGTGAGAGTAACCCCTATATATCGAGGATGACAATCTATATGACAACAATCCTGTGTACTATTATGATGTTTGTAACTTTCTATATAACAAGTGACATTATTTTCTTTTTTCTGTACCAATGTAGTTTAATCAAGATATTTTTGTTATTAAAACTTTCAAAGGACATCAAAGTAACAACACATCAGGTTTGAAGATGGCTTCCACTATTGACCCTCCATAGCACATAGCACACACACTGGAGAGTAGGCATCGGCTGATCAGGTGGGAAGGGATTTAAGTAGGGCTCAACAGGGAGGAGCTGAACTGATCAGGTGGGGAGGGGCTCAACAGGGAGGAGCTGAACTGATCAGGTGGGGAGGGGCTCAACAGGGAGGAGCTGAACTGATCAGTCGGGGAGGGGCTCAACAGGGAGGAGCTGAACTGATCAGTCGGGGGAGAGGGTGGGCTGGGGAGGGGCTCAACAGGGAGGAGCTGAACTGATCAGTCATGGGAGAGGGTGGGCTGGGGAGGGGCTCAACAGGGAGGAGCTGAACAGATCAGTCATGGGAGAGGGTGGGATGAGGAGGTGCTCAACAGGGAGGAGCTGAACTGATCAGTCGGGGGAGAGGGTGGGCTGGGGAGGGGCTCAACAGGGAGGAGCTAAACTTATCAGGTGGGGAGGGGCTCAACAGAGAGGAGCTGAACTGATCAATTGGGAAGGGTAGGGGCTAGGGAGGGGCTCAACAGGGAGGCGCTGAGCTGATCAATCTGGGGAGGGAAGGGGCTCAACAGGTTGGATATGAACTGATCAATTGGGGGAGGAGCTCAATAGGGAAGGGTTGAACTGATCAGGTGGGGAGGGGTTGGGTAGGGCAAGGGCTCAACACGGAAGGAGCTGAACTGATCAGGTGGGGAGGGGCTCAACAGGGAGGATCTGAATTGATCAATTGATGGAGGGAAGGGCTCAACAGGGAGGAGCTGAACTGATCAATTGGGGGAGGGACTCAACAGGAAGGAACTGAACTGATCAATTGGGGGAGGGACTCAACAGGAAGGAACCGAGCTGATCAATTGGGAAGGGGTGTGGCACAACAGGTTGGAGCTGAACTGATCAATTTGGGGAAGGTAGGGGCTAGGGAGGGGTTCAACAGGGAGAAGCTGACCTGATCAATTGAGGAGGGGAGGGGCTCAACAAGGTTGGATCTGAACTGATCAGTTAGGGAGGGGAGGGCACAACAGAGAGGAGCTGAACTGATCAGGTAGGGAGGGGAGGGGCTCAACAGAGAGGAGCTGAACTGATCATGTAGGGAGGGGAGGGGCTCAACAAGGTTGGATCTGAACTGATCAATTGTGGAAGGGGAAGGTCACAACAGAGCGGAGCTGAACTGATCAGGTAGGGAGGGGAGGGGCTCAACAGAGAGGAGCTGAACTGATCATGTAGGGAGGGGAGGGGCTCAACAAGGTTGGGTCTGAACTGATCAGTTTGGGAGGGGAGGGGCACAACAGGGAGGAGCTGAACTGATCAATTGGGGGAGGGGCTCAACAAGGTTGGATCTGAACTGATCAGGTGGGGAGGGGAGGGCACAACAGAGAGGAGCTGAACTGATCAGGTAGGGAGGGGAGGGGCTCAACAGAGAGGAGCTGAACTAATCAGTTAGGGAGGGGAGGGGCTCAACAAGGTTGGATCTGAACTGATCAGGTAGGGAGGGGAGGGGCTCAACAGAGAGGAACTGAAATGATCAGGTAGGGAGGGGAGGGGCTCAACAAGGTTGGATCTGAACTGATCAATTGGGGAAGGGGAAGGTCACAACAGAGAGGAGCTGAACTGATCAGGTAGGGAGGGGAGGGGCTCAACAAGGTTGGATCTGAACTGATCAATTAGGGAAGGGGAAGGTCACAACAGAGAGGAGCTGAACTGATCAGTTTGGGAGGGGAGGGGCACAACAGGGAGGAGCTGAACTGATCAATTGGGGGAGAGGAAGAGAGTGGCTTAGGAGGGGCGACAGGGATGAGCTGAACTTATCCGATGGGGAGGGGATGGGCTTCAAAGGGTCTCAACAGAGAGGTTTTTAACTGATCAAAGAGCAGAGAAATTGGGTTTAGCATGAAGTATAGGGGCTTGACAGAGGATTTGGATACCAAAGGGATAGTCTGGATAGGAGAAAGGAGGGGGTTTAATATCAGAATGGGTAGTGATGGGCTTGTTAGAAATACGGGGCAGTTAATAAATATTTTGGGTAAATACAGGAGAGGTATAAAGGGGCAGATAAATAGTACTGGGATATGAGGATTGGTTTATATGTTTCACTTTCAAATGAAGGGAGACATGTTGTAGAGGTTCTTATTCTTGTCTATCTTCCCCTTCTCATAATATCTTGTACAGGGTTTTGAATTATGCGGGCCATAATTTTTAACTCATTAAAGATATCTTGATGAAACTTAAAGTATACTCGATTATGTGCAGAATGTGTGCAGTGCGCTGTTTAGGTCACTGTGACCTTAACCTTTAGGTCAAAGGTCAAGTACTTGCAACTTGTTTTTAGTTCAATCTTGTGAGAGCTGTAGATGTCCTATTATTGAAGATATATTATGAAACGTGAAGTAAATACCTGCATCACCCACAGACTATGTGTAGTGTACAGTTTTTAGATTACTGTCTGGTCAAAGGTTGAAAAAGGCCTGTATCGCTCACCTGAATATGTTTAAAATAATTGGTATGAAGTAAAGATATAGCACTCCATGGTAGGTGCTGTAAGTACATATGAAATTTCAGAAAGATACATCCAGTACTTGAGATATAGCGTGAGCAAACTTCAAACAGAGTCCCACCCCTATGCCCCTAGGGGGGTCATACCCACCAATTATACAAAATTGAGACCCCTTGGCCCAAGGTAGCTCCAGACTAAATTAGGATAAAATCCGTTATTCCCTATGGTAGAAGAGATTATAAAGGTTTTACCTTTATTTCCTCTTATTGGGCACCGCCCCTCAGGCCCCAGGGGGGGCCACACCCACCGTTTATACAAAATGTGTTCCCCTTTACCCAAGGATGCTCCACACCAAATATGGACCAAATCCTTTCATTCCTACAGAAGAAGAAGGATTTTAAAGAACAATTTGCTATGTTTCCCCTATTGGGCCCCGCCCCTAAGGACCCGGGGGGGCCGGACCCACGGTTTATACAAAATTTGTTCCCCTTCCCCAAAGGAGGGGGAAATGGCAAAAAATGGTAATAACAGTTACAAGGAAGTTAAGCCAATCAGCCGATACCATACTCTCCTGCCCCATGTCCAGCCTTTTGGTTGCACACAGTTGTCTGCCCTGAACTAGTGTTGACCCGCTGTTTATCTAGAATATGTGTGGGATCGCCCAGTGTGTAGACTGTACCGTGTCATGTGGCTGTGTTGTGTATTGTCCTGTGTTGTAGACTGTACCGTGACATGTGGCTGTGTTGTGTATTGTCCTGTGTTGTAGACTGTACCGTGACATGTGGCTGTGTTGTGTATTGTCCTGTGTTGTAGACTGTTTTATTATTAGATTGTTTCATTTTATAGCTTAAGTACTTTCAAGAAGAATAAAACATAAATCAGATAACATGTATTTGTTAAAATGTTTGAAAGTTTTCCATTTTATGAAGTATTTTCTGCGGTCTCTCGATTTAACAACATATCATATATGATCAGTAAGTTAGGTCACCTACTAGTTACATGAAGATACAGGTATCTACAAAAACCTTTTTTTGATTGAGTGGTGTTGCAAAAAGTATAGACATTATTGCTGATCTAATGGGACTTGGGTAATATTGACTGGCGATCTGATGTTGTTAGATCTTGATGCCACAGTAAATGCGGCAGTAAATATAATTGCAAAATGCTATGACACAGGACAGATTTTTATAGAATTTAAAAATCATGTTCACCCGAGAACTTTAGAAGCTGTGGGTTTGGCTCGATCATGGCACCAGAAACAAATTGTGTAGATCCTGCTACGTCAGTGCTACCTTTGGTTAATTAACTTATCCTCTTTGTTTTATGTGTGCATCGTCCTCTGAATTTTTTTATTTTTTTTTGTCTGATGAAGGTGACAGTGTACATATCGTCCTAGTCATCGATACGTCACATAGAAAATGTTATTGGTTGTGTAAAAAGAACTTCTCATAAAACTCTTAATTCTTGTTTGAAATAGGTTTTAGGAGGTAAGACGACATTTAGTGATGATAAGCATGTACAATAGTTTTACAGAAATTGTTGTACACTATTATATTACATAGGCAATACTACTTACATCACCTTATGTCACAGCTAGCACTTGTTTATGGGGTAGATATAATTCTCAGCACATTATATTTGTAGTATCAGATGAAATCATATTTGTGGTATGACTAACTTACATGATAACTTTCCATCCAGCTTGCGGAGAAAGTAAACTTACAGTTCCTGAGTCTGATGGAGGCCCTGCGAGAGTGCAACTCTTCAGTTTTAGCCAAGGTTTGTTTGTCCTATGTGTTCTGTCATTGATCAAGATACAAATCGTATGTGCAGTAACACACACCCTGTTCAGGGTCAAGGTCCTTATCATATAATTAATGTGCAAATTTATTTTGAGTTGCTTTATTAAGTGACTGTCCATTAAATAATACAATCAGCCCACACATCTACTGTTGCTTGCCTGGTACTAGTATGAAGTTTCATTGATGAGATGTGATCTATGTTTCAGTTGTTTCCGATGTGGACGACCATTTTGTTTACTCATCACTCCAGTGTAAGTAATCACATTATGTTTCTGTACAGTGTTCAATTCAACTAAGATATTTTTATTTCTGTTCTTATCATACATTCCATACATTCAAAGATTTTTTTAGAAAAAAATGATTTTATTTTTTATCATTTTCAAAAAAAGAAAAGAAAAATGTCTCTTATTTAACTGAAATTTCAGTAATATGTTTTATTTGTTGTTGGTTAACTATAAATAATTGCGACATTTTGTGACGTTGCCAGTTGTCGGGCCATCACCAGGTGAAGCTACAGACATGTGAGAACTGGGAACCCCCCAGTCCCACTAAGGACCTGGCCTCTGTCAACTCAACAGTCCTCCTCAACTGGCTCAAACGTAGCCAGTTCAAACTTGGTCAGATTGAGGTCCAGTCCTCCGCGGCCACCCAGTTCTATGCTGTATAATCTGCCAGACTTATGCTGTGTAACACAATGACAATGGTTGTGTGAATTAACCCAGCTATATAATGTATTGCCAATGTTTTAAGCTGGTCTCCAACAAAGTAGTTCTACTATTTTTATCGTACAACTTTTGCTAATATGACCCGAGTTCCTGCTATAGTAGGTCCTCAATAATGTGTTCGCTAAACAAGATGGAGATCAATTCTTGGGGATAGAAAATAGCGAAAATACAGTATTATATGTTACCTGGTACCAAAGTGTAGTTGAATAACTTTAATTGTAATGTTGAGATTGGAAAACTTCCAAAAAGTATCTTGTGCAATTGTTTCTTCCAGTCTTATGTACAGTAAAACATGTTTATGAAAAGCCGAGGGGAACTGAGAAATCAGTTCACTACAGTAAAGCATATTTAAAATGAAAACCAATAAAGGTAAGAAATTGATTATAGATCTACAGCTGTAATTGGTTACAGAGTGTGACGTTACAGAGATACGAGGCAGTGAAGATACAGTATTTAGGAAATAAGACCTTGCCAGAGAAAAAAACTATGACTTTTACTGTAAACAAGAATTCACAATAAGCATGTTTTACTGTATCTAGTGCAGTCATTGGTAAAGTATTGTGACTTATTTTATGAACTCTTTATCTGGTGCAATAGTTTGATAAATTATTCTGACATTTTTTATGTTACCCACAGGGGCATCGCACAGACACCCAACCCCCATGGTCCATATATATGTGTGTATTAATTATCATGTATCATGATACACATATATACAGACTGTTGGGTTGGAGATCTGTGTCGCACCCACGTGTTGTTACCTAGTGCAATAGTATTGAGTTTTATTGTGAAGCATTATTTTACATTTATTTTTTATATGTTAATTATTACCCCGTAATTACATTTTTTGGGACTTTTTCACATTTAAACTCTGTATTTTATGTAGTGTTCATAACCCGTCCATCAGATGCCAACGGTCACCTTTCACTAAACCCCAACATCTAATTCAGTCTCCAAGACCAAAGTGTGAGTAGAGTAATAGATTATATAGAAGCTCATTGTAGAAATATGTTCATATTTAACTCATTCACCCCCGAGATTTCATAATGAACTATTCCAACCTTTTCATTGGAAGAGTTCAAATGTGTCTTCAGGGGTGAATGGGTAAACACTGTATACCACCAATGCTGTTATATAACCCTACATGATTTATTGCTTTGTAACTATTATAGAAAATGGGGGCGGGAGCTGAGTTACGCAAAGTGATAAAGCCAAAACGAATATATGCACAATGTAGTGGTTTGTATCTATTATACAATGTGTTTTTTTATAACTTTTAGCTGCGACAGGTAACCAGAAAAGGATTTTTTTTGTTTTTGTGACATGTTATGATGTAACTCTCAAAATAGGAATTATGAACCTTTATTAGTGACAGATCACTGTTGAAAAAGGAATTGAATTTCTTGGCCAATATTTGTGGTCGGTAACTATTTAAAAGGAATTCTTCAAATGTAGGTGTGTAAGGTATTAAACCACTATAAAACAAATTCTTATCTTTTAATTTGCGTCTAGTTGGTGTCTGATATTATTGTTGAATCTGATGGACTTATATTGAATTTGCCAAAAATAAATGTACATTAAGATATTATATACATGTTAACCAGAAAATATTATATTGTTTATGTTAGTTTATATTTATTAGACAAGTTTTAGATTCTATACCATTTGATGTTGTTTGTTTATTGCAGTGTATTTATTGAAAATAAATCGTGGTAAATAGTTGATTTGTTCTCATTTAATATGACCATGGAATGAGATGTTAGCTGGTAGACGTTAGGAACTGAAACGCTACTTATGGTAGACGTTAGGAACTGAAACACTACGTATGGTAGACGTTAGGAACTGAAACGCTACTTATGGTAGACGTTAGGAACTGAAACGCTACTTACATCACTGTCAGATGTACACCAGTAGTGTACAGTTTCACTCACCATAAAAGTTATGGTGAATCTCAGGTGGTATATTTCAAATCATGAATTGTGTAAAGACAAGAAAACACCTTTTTATTGTAACGTGAATTTTTATTTTGATGATTTCATTATATTGGTAGCATAGTGGTCAGCAGCAGCCATCCTGGATCTACATTATACTGATCACATAATAATAATATCGATAATAATAATAATAATAACAAAATCAACAGTCGTAACGCTGTTGATCTACAAGTTCATGGCTTTCTGCGTCAACCAATCATTGGTCACCTCTGTCAACCAATCGGCTTATACTTCTTACAATACACGTAAGCAGGGTGGGGTTAAAACCTAGTCTGATGGTAATTAACTGGTGTTTCTTAACATTTATCAAATATACAAATAGCCTGGTGGTACTTAACAATTGTTAACTACACAAATAGCCTGGTGGTACTTAACAATTGTTAACTACACAAATAGTCTGATGGTACTTACAACAATTGTCAAATACACAAATAGTCTTGTGGTCCTTAACAATCATCAAATACACAAATAGCCTGGTGGTACTTCACAATCATCAAATACACAAATAGCCTGGTGGTACTTTACAATTGTTAAATACCCAAAAGCCTGGAGGTACTCTGCTTTGTTAAGTACTAATAAACTTATGGTAATTCACAGTTGCCCAAGCAGCTCAGAAGTACTTGAAAGTTATTAAATACACAAATAGCTTGGCGGTATTCAACAATTGTGAAATACACAAACAAGTTGGTGGTACCTAACAATTGAGACATTAGACAAGTACAGCCTGGCAGGTCAATTACACCAATAGTCTAGAGGTACATGTAGTCTTATAATAGCCACACAAAGCCTAGTATAACTGATAAACAACTCTCACCCACAAACAAGTTGGTGGTACCTAACAATTGAGACATTAGACTAGTACAGCCTGGCAGGTCAATTACACCAATAGTCTGGAGGTACATGTACTCTTATAACAGCCACACAAAGCCTAGTATAACTGATAAACAACTCTCACCCACAAACAGGAGTATAGGTCTGCAAGCCTTGGGTGTCAACCAAAATGTATATAGAAATGGCAGTGTTTGCAACCCTATGCCTGTCTACCATGTGAACAGACCTGACTGTAACACCTATTACATGTAGCCAGCTTACATTTACAATGGTACACATAGTATGCCATGATGACTTGTACATGCATGGTACATGTATCTACAGGTTTAGTACATCATTTACATTTATATACATATCATTGCCCTGGGATAAATACTTATTATGACATCTTCAGCTATAGGTAACCAATACTTTATACATGCTTAGCTATATATCTTAAACCAAAACTATATACACTTTTATTTAAATAGTTAACCAAGATTATAAACTCTTGGCTATATGTAGTTGACGGAGATCATGTTTTTATTCTCAGATATACACAGTAGTTTAACCAAAGACTATACACTCTCATTAATATAGTTTATCAAATGTTATCCAAAATTATATATCGTTATAAATCTTTATACACCCCCAAGTCAATACAGTTAACCAAGAATGTATTAACTCAGCTATATAGAGCTAACCAAGACTATATACATACTTGGCTATATAAGTATAGCTTCACATAATCACAGATTTTACTATAATATACAATCTTAACTCTAAGGCCCATTAAGCTGCTACTCATGGCCAACCAAGATTATATCATTCAGCTTTATAATTACACAGTTCACCAAAACTACGATCTCATAATTAGATATGTATCACTCTTATAGACACAGAAATAGTTTACGATATTGCTCAACTATTTATAATCAACAAGGATTATATACCCCAAGCCATATATACTGCATGTCTGGACATTTTTCCGGCTCAAATTTTCATCCTTCATTTGTAAAATTCATATTAATTAGCCAAATTGAAATTTTGCCTTCTGTGGTGTTTTTTTTCAATTATGTTAAGTATGCTGTGAAATATATTTGTTATCATGATATAATGGCATGTCATAATATATTTCAACAAACAATCTTTTTGTTGTTTCAAACTGCACTTGCTTAATGACATTGAAAATATACTTTATGATATTTCCAATTAAAAAGGAATATTTTGATTAAGGTAATTTGCATCATTATTGTAATTTTATCTCTTTTCCAAAACATTTCCACATGTTCCTGAATGGTAACTTAAACATAAACTTGATTCATTTCACAACAGAAGTGTTTCCAACTTATATCTAAGTCACACTTTTTGGCCCAGATGAAAGCGTGTCAAGGGGATCTAAATGAGGGAGGAAACCACAGTACCTTAAGACAACAATAAATTATGGTCAGACATGTGACTCCATACCTTTTCTAATCCATTCGGGGAATCAAACCCAAGCCGTCTAAGTGAAAGGTGAGTGCACTGTCGGCTGTGCCACCTGACCACCTAGGGTTATTTGGTCTAAGATTATTAATTCCTGACATATTTAGAGGGTTCACAGGAATGTTTACATTCCAACAGTCAAGTAGTTCTGAATTATGCCAACTAAAATCGTTAAGGGAGATAACTCTTACCAAAATCATACGTTTAATGTGTAGTGTTTAACATTAATTTTCTAACTGAAAACGCAGTTTAATTGTATATCCTTTACTGTCATTAAAGGGATATAACTCTAACACAAGTCCCAAGTTGAAAATGTGGCTTAGTAGGGTAACCCTTACCCTAATAACCGGCTTAATGTATATGCTTAGCTGTCCATAAGGGAGATAACTGCACAAATCACAGGTTTAATGTATATCTTAACATAGATCTGTAAGGGAGGTAACTCTATCCAAAAGGACATGTTTAATGTGTACCCTTATCTGTCATTAAGCTTATGCAGGTTGTTACAGACTGTCCCATCTCTGCCTAATGCCACTCTCACCTGTACTCTTATACAAATCAGGGCCTCACCGACTCACAGCTGTTACTTGTATATTACTGGTCCCGACTCATTAATGATTATACGGTTAACCAATAAGTTTTACATATTTAAGATACTTTATATAGGGCTGAAATGTTTTTGAAGTTTTATCTTTATATAATAATATCCTGAAAAAAGAAATACAAACCTCACAAATTTGTTGCCCTTTTGATAGTTTTGTATCAATACAGCTAGTCCTGAAGATAAATTGACTGTTTAATATGTTGCTGAAAATTTAAACTCCCGAACTATGAGTTCCTGAAATAATACTGTGAAAATCTGATCCTGTGAAAGTTAACAGCACTTTCCACAATATAGTTACTGATATGGGTGACCACTTAGGGAAATGTCCTTTTATTTACAGCTACCACCCTAAATATACTTTTACATAAAATAATATTTGGCCCTGTGGTAGAACATAACAGGTACTTCTTTTACGAAAGAGTTAACCCCCCCCCTCCCTCCCCCTTGGTCTTCAATATCTTCTGTGCTACCATGGAAATGTACTACTGTTTAATGATTCTGGTATTTTTACAGTTGGACTACCTGTACCGCACATAAAAATTATTGTACAATGTACTAATTATACTTCTTAGGTCTGTTGGATGTATATGGAGCAGTAAAAGGTTAGGATTTAATGGTATTGAGAACCTAGGTCCATATTCATAAAACTATTCCCATGCTCAAACTCTGATTTTCACACTGCTCCAGCCTACTTCCTTATTCCATTGATGAATTTTTCCAGTTTCACATTTCTGAAGCAAAGCACCCTTTTCAATGTGTAAATCTTCAGCGAGTTACACGACAGGTTGTTTGAGCTCAGAATTCATGCTTGCATGATAACTGGTAATGTTTTCATTCCTACATACCCCGAATATGAATCCTTGCACTTATCATCCTCAAGCTAAGCTTAGTATGAGCTGGCTACAGAGAGGAGGAAATAAGTATGACATATATTGCAGTCCTCACAAAAAAGGAGGATGGATTTCAGCTAATGTTGTGATGGTTCCTGAGGTAACACTTACATAGTCACATAGTTATCTGGATGAGGGATTATTGTAACAATATATATAGCTATTATCATGACCTATCATGTATTTCTCCCGGATCTGTCTATTGATGTAACTTATAGCATAATCAAACACAATAAACGAGAAATAAGATAGTTAAAAGGACAGCAAACAGCTTATTACAATCAGTGCTTGTTACACGTTTATATATATATATATCACATTTAAAGAGCTGTTGTTTGACAAAAAGTAAGTTAATTCACAATCATTTGATAATTAATCATATCACATTTAAGCTACATACCTGTGTACCATATATGTAACATACTACAAATACATCTGTGTCATTTGTCTTGCCTAGATAGCTTTAAACATCTACTTGTTGACCTGCATAATAAATTACATTATATTTTAATTAATAATGAAAATATAATTTTACTTTATTGCTGAACACAAATGAATGATAAAAAAATATTTACTGAGAGCAGAATTAATTCTGTCTTTCCATTTATTCCGATTCCTACAGGTAGTAGGTCAAATATTTGATTCATTTGTTTGATGTAATTTTTTTAGAACTGGGTACAACATAAAGGCAGCTATCTTATTTATAGATATATAGAGTCTATGGATTGATTAAGTGAGGAGGTCTACCAAATGTTCATCTTGGCAAAAAAAAGTAACTATGTGATAGATGAAGGGCTTGTTTCCTGTATCTGGTAATTTCAAGGAAAGAAAAAGCAGTACTTCTACATAACACTAATAATTTTTAATTTATAAGAAATCAAAAGATAAATCCTTTTTACTCAATATATAAACTCTCACACTGAA